TCTGCATAAAAAGATTGTTCAATTCTACAAAAATGCGTGCAGAAACAGAACTGTAGCTATGTGTTGTGCATGAATGTAGCATATTACATTACATGTCACTTGTTAGACGCTATTATCCAAAGCGACTTACATACTCAATACTGTGGACAATCCCCACAGGAGCAATTTGGGGTGAAGTGTCTCAGGGACACAACGACTTGCTGACTGCATTTTGACTCGAACTTGCTACCCCCTGATTCGAAGTCCAGCACTATATCCACTTAGCCACAGCCACCCCAAACACTTTAGAGACATGTTTTGTATTTATCTGAGACCTATGATCTATTGTTGAAAAACAGTATAGGGAACCTTTTTTTCTCTGCTGTTAAACATAGTGGCAGATCATTTTGACCCTAAAGCCATAACATCATATTAGGGTACAAATATAAACAGTATGAATAAAATGGCGGGTAGAAAACGCCCTGGCGATAAAGTGACAGACTCATGTGTCACTCGTGTGTTTCTTTAATGTTGGAGCACACACTGACCTGTGAGTGTGCACAACCTCCTCCGGCTGCAAGAAAAACACGTCGCTTCTCGTCTGCACCGACTCCGGGCTGTCAGAGAGCAGAGAGGATCATCATAAAAATAATAACAATAACAATCATAAAAATAAGCTTTATTTGTATAGCACTTTTCATACACAGGTGCAGATCAGAGCGCTTTAACAACATTACACAAATCATACATGCAGCATTACAATATAACACAACGCAAGGGAACCAGGGAAGTAAAAGGTGGAATAAGTCAAATAAAATAAATAATCATCTCTCTCTTTAAAATAAAGGTAGACATAAGACAAAATGATTAAATAAGATAGATACATTAAATAAATACAATAATTACAATTTATCATTATTATAATAATAAAAAACAGGAAAAAAACAATAAAAGACCATTTTAAGAAGGGGATGTCGCTAATAAAACAATAAAAGAAAGAAAGAAAACAATATCAAAAATAAATAATAAGAATAATAAAGATTAAAAGAGCAGTTAAATGGGGTTGTTGCTAATAAAAAACGAATCTAAATAGATAGTTTTCAGTGTGTGTGTATGTGTGTGTGTGTGTGTGTGTGTGTGTGTGTGTGTGTATGTACGTGTGTGTGTGTGTGTGTGTGTGTGTGTGTGTGTGTGTGTGTGTGTGTGTGTGTGTGTGTGTGTGTGTGTGTATGTACGTGTGTGTGTGTGTGTCTCACCATCTGGAGAGGTAGAACTCGTAAAGCCTGACAGGACAGTGTAGAGGGTTGGCGACATTTTCAAGCATCTCCAGCATCTCTTCCTCTCCCTGCCTTTTTCTATATCGTTCTGGAAACAAAGAAAGTACCACAACTCAGGCAGTCATACTAACAATTACGGATACCTGATATTTTACACCACACGCAGTCAGATTAAGAATTTCAGCAGGATAAAAAAAAAACTCTACTTCTACTGTGGGTGGGTGCGGGTTGTTCGTTTGACCAGTATGAGTGGGATGCAATACTATTTGATGACAACCATTTTTCATCAACCTTGTTATTCTTTATCTTTTTGAGAATTGTTAGTTTCATGTTGACATTTGAATTGTTATGCAATTAAACCCCAACTCATTCAGTAAAACCAAAATTATACAAAAAGAAGAAAAAACCTCTACTTTAGTGTACCTGTGCTGTGGGGGTCCTTGCTGCTCCGCTGGTATCGGAGGTAGAGGACTTTTCCGGCTTTTTTGCAGGGTTTGGAGAGTCGGGTGAAGTTGGTGAAGGAGACGCTCTGGTGCTGCTCCAGAGTGGTGAAGCCGAAGTTCTTGGTGCAGAAGAAGAGCAGCGTGTTGAGCAGCACGATGGGGGAGTAGGCGCCCAGCTGCTTACACTCCCACAGGTAGGACTCCACCACCCTGGAGGAGACTGCAGCACCTGGAGGAGGGCGGAGGAGGGGGCGGGGTTTGTCCAAAACAAACATGAATAAATAAGGAGTTTAGTGGCGTTTAGAGTTCAGCAGGATTTTACCAAGCTTAGCTCTGCATGTTTCTCTGATAACTTGATCCAGGCATTCGATGAATACAATCCGTAATATGGGTAAAATATAGAATTTAAAATGACCAAGTTCTGAAATGTTTATTAGATTAAAACTGAAAAAAATATACAACTATAATAAACCAAGTGAAGCGCACCTTGAGAGGAAATGACAGATTTCTCTAGGTTTTTGTACATTTCACCTAATATACCTTTAAATATCTTAAATCAAAACTAAAATATGTAAATAGTTGAGTGTTTAAAATTATTTTTTAAAAGCATAAAAAAGAGTTGGGAGAATCTTCTTATATTTAAAACCATTCATATTTTCTTTGGCCACCTCTGGCCAGTAGAACACGCTGTAAACACTACATGTTATCAACTTATAAATTGGATATGGCGAAGCTGTTATCAAAGTAATCTGTAATTACACGTACAGCTTTAAAGTTGTATATAATCTGAATCTAAATAAAACATTTTATACAGAGAGGACATTTAGAAATGAAAATACATTGACTGGTTATTTCAGAAAATAGACATGATTAAACTGTGGTGTGATTTGATGAATATCTCCACTATGACTTTATGATATTACCACTCGGTACTAGTAGTTTAGGTTTCCAGAGTTGCAGCATCCCGCTGATTTTGGTGGTAAACTGACTGTAGAGCTCGTCAGTGAAGATGTTCTCTATGCGGCCCTTTGAGAACAGATACTGTCCAAAGAGAAGAAGAAAAGAAGGGGAAATCAATGGGTGCTGCAGGAAGTCCTAATACCTTGAAATGAGTTAGCATTAGTAAGCATGACTTAGCATAGCATGTGTATTTGGTTAGATGCCTAAAATAAGAGCTTTGGTTAAATATAAGATAGTTCTCTGACATAAGATACAGTTAATACCCCACTGGTGAATCTCTGAAGCTTCTATGCGTCAGAAAAACTGCAGTTGCTAACACATGGCTTAATTAAACTACTAAACGTCATCACGCCGAACATTAGCTGCCTTTAGCTTAGCGCCATTTAACCGTCATGTAGTTTGTTTATAGCCTAGCATTACCTTATTTACTTCTGGCTGTTGCATTGACGATTCAACTTTTATAAAAGGTTTGTTAATATGTGGAGATGATCCTGCTGAAAAAAATGTGTAAGTATCATAAACGTGTGTTTGCCTCATAGCTTAGTTTTTATTCAATATTCCAAAATCCAATGGAGAATTCTGAATGCCATTTATAATGGGAGCCCTTGCGATGCTAACTTCTCTGCACTTCTGCCTAAAAGAAATACGGAAATCGAGATGGAAAACTAATTAAACAATATAATGTGTGTGTTGGTGTGTGTGTGTGTGTGTGTGTGTGTGTGTGTGTGTGTGTGTGTGTGTGTGTGTGTGTGTGTGTGTGTGTGTGTGTGTGTGTGTGTGTGTGTGTGTGTGTGTGTGTGTGTGTGTGTGTGTGTGTGTGTGTGTGTGTGTGTGTGTGTGTGTGTGCACCTGCTGTATCCCCAGGCAGAGGTAGAAGATGCTGTCTGGGCTGTAGGTCTCTCCATTGGGCCGTCTCACATCAGTGATGAAGTGAGATAGAGCGAAGCTGAGCTCAGCAGAGTCACACTGAAGCACGTCCTCTTTAACATCCACCATGTTGGCTGCAGGGGGAGGGACCACAAAACACAACTAGTGTAGAATAAAACAGTTTAAAACGGAAAAAATCATTGGGTTAGATGTTGATAACGAAGTCTTACATCTTGTGGGCTGTTGGTTCTGTTGTTGGACCCAGCTTCTCCAGGCTTTAACCCCGTACACGTGGTTCAGTTTGGAGGCGGGGGGAGTCCGCACTGCACTGTGGTTCAAGGAGCCAGTACGCCTTCGACTCTGGATGGATTCAAATGCAATGAAAGATTGACTTTGAGCACAAAATGCATGGTGGGCGTAATTGAAACATTTGGTTATGAACACTTGTAATATATTACATAACATCCAAGGAATATGATGGGGCTTTGGAAGGTAAAACATTCTTATGGAGCCAGGGGAGATAATATCAGAGAAAGGATAAGTAAAAACAAAAGTGACTATTCTCTTCTCATGGAAAAGTTCACTAATGTACAAAAAACTTGAATATTGTCTATTGTCTATGCTGCCATAATACTTGAACTATAAATATAATATGTAAACTAACTGTGAGGTGTTATCCACTTTTTCTGCCATATCAACCAGCAAACAATCAACAGTCCATAATATACAATAAAACAATGATCTGGAACTCCTGCCTCTTGTGCTCATCTGTAAACCAATGACCTTTTTTAATCCCTAAACCAATCCTTACCAAGCTAAATGTTCTTGTGGCAAATGTTACTGATATGAAATTGACAATAAAAAAGATTAAATAGTCGTTATTGTTTTTGTTAAATAAAGTCATTTAAGATACTTTTTTGTAATTTTGTCTAAGACTTACATCGCTCAAGTTTTTTTGTGGTGAATAAGTGACTTCATAATGGCACAAAATGTTGACGTTTTTTGCTGATCTCAGCAGAATCTCACCCGTTTCCGGCTGCTGTAAGGGTCTCTAGATCGCTTCACTCCTCTCTGTGGAGCAGCTGGCTTCTGATCCAACGACTCTGCAGAAACAAACAAAAGTTGTAGCAGCATAAAATCCAGTTTTTACCCCAACAAACCCATTTATGTGAAGTAGTAGGATGTCTCACCAGTTGGGATATCAGTCTCCAGGTCCATCAATGGAGAGGAGGGAGGTTGAAGCTCAGCACTGGTGGTAGGAGGCTCGCTAGTTATCGTAGTAACCTCTGACTGGGTGCTTAGTTGGGGATCAGATGACTCCGTGCTTCTCTCTGAACTCACAGTTAGTGGCAGGTCCGCCTGTACTGTTTTTTCATTCTCTTCAACTTCACGGATCATGGGGGCGACCACCTCTGACTCCATGTCCCCACTATGAGGACTTCTCTGGTCTGTAGCGCACACACAGAGAAACATGGAGGAAAATACATTGGTGACTTTGCTTTTGATTATTACATTACATTACATTTCACTTGTTAGATGGTTTTATCCAAAGCAATTTTGGGTGAAGTGTCTTGCCCAGGGACACAACGACATGCTGACTGCGGTGGGGTTTGAACCTGTTTTTTTGGGGGGTTCCCCCTCCTGTAGTGTGTTATATAGGTTTGTGTGCATGTAAATGGTCTGCAAAGGCTAAAATTCCAAAGTTCACTCCAGAGAGTTGGTCTCCCAGACACTCCCCCCCCTGCCTGAAACACCCCCATTTGTTCAATTCCTGGGTTATACTGCACTCCATTTGTTTAATTCTGAACATAGTGACATCACTATGTAACAGTCGCGCTTCTATTGGTTAGCACTCCAACATATTGTAGAAGGAGTGGGACATCTCTAAGCGGTTGACCAATCACAACAGAGCCGGCCAGCTAACCAATCAGAGCAGACTGGGCTCTGGTTTCAGACAGAGGGGGAAAAGAGGTGCTGCAGCACAGGCAGTATGAGGAAAAGAAAGAGCTTTCTGAACATTAAAGCATGGAGACATGTCACAGTAGAGGCACGAAATACAAATGTGAACCGGAACATTTGCATAATAAGTCCTCTTTAAAAAAAGAAAAGAAACTGAAGATAGCAAATCTACATCAAACATCTGCTTGTAAACCATCATGTGCTTTTTAATACACTTCTCAATTATCCGGTCATATGTTCACTTCTTCCCCAACACATATTCACTGAAACTAGTTCAAAAGTAATGTTTTAGCAACAATGATTGTGTTCAGGAAGTAGTGAGCATACTACTGTTCAAATGAGGCTTGGATTATACTGCATTAGTTTGGTTGGAGTTTGTAAACAGATGTTTTTACATTGTTTGGCTTTTGTTTAGTACATTGAGGTGAATTCCCAAAGACCTTTCTCCATTCTTGGATTCTTTGTTCATGATGGAGTCATGTGAGAAAAAATTGATTCTTTCATGATTTGAGTAATTGATAAAAAACGGATCATTTTGGTGTCCTTTGAAGACATAAAAACCTGGACAAAAGCAGCCTCACCTGCACACAACAAAGTGAATCTTCTATCAACATACATTTAAAAGATAAAAAGCATTTTTTAAGAACTCACATTGCTTGCCCGAGATTTCCACTTCGAATCTATTAACCGTTTTTTTCTTAAAATGTACAATTTTAATCTCGTCAAATCAGTTTTCCCGAATATTACCACTGTATCCAGATTGAAATGGTTGTAATACACCAAGTTAGGACAGGGACTCTGTGCTGCTCACCTGCAGTGGAAACATCTCTCTGTTTTTCTTCCGTCACAGCCTGAGGCTCTGACTGCACTGCAGCATCTCTCGTCTCCTTCTTCTGTGGTGGCACTACTATAGGTACTGGAACCTGGGAGGAACACGTTTACATCAAATTTGCTGCAGAAAAACCCCCAATTTTCTTAGAATATATTAGGACGTACGGGCACAGGCATCGCCATTGGAAAAGGTGTGTACTGGGAGTACATGCTCATGGGCACTGGGATGAAGACGGGCACTGGGACTGGGACTGGCACCAGCAACACCCTCACATTCTCCCCCCCTACTGAGACACTCATTGAGGGGGGAAGCACACCTGGAGGAGGAGGTGAGGGAGATCAGGAGGAAGAGACATAGAGATTGAAAGGGAGACAGAAATAATCAAATTGAATTAATACAATTGGGAAAATAAACAGTAAGACAAATAAGGAGGAAATATAAAAATAAACATAAAAAAACTGTTTCACAAAAATTGAAGGGGAACATTTTTTATTAAAAGAGGAATCAGTTTGTTTCAAATTACGTTTTTATTTAATACAACTTCAAAGGTTTTATTAAATAAAGTATACTGTTAAAATCACGATCACTATATTTGTATTGATTAAAATACATAGATATCACATTTAAATGTACAATATCACAGATCATTTTCTTATAATGCAGAAATTAAAGAAAAAACAAATGAGAGAAATGTTGCTATCTTTTAAATTCATTTTAACAATTGACAACATATTTAAGTGTGTCTTTATTGCAGCCTAAAACTCCTAATAAAACACATTTTGAAAACATCTATACCGTTTATTTATCATCAGCACACTGTGTCGTTTTGATGAACATGAGGTAATCTGTCATTTCACGTTTGGAGCACAACTTTTTCTACTGATATTTCCTACGAATAAGTGTAATGATGCTTAACTGTAAGTGAGTTTAAGTCTTGTGTTAAGTGCCGTGGTATGTTTGTGTGTCTCCCCCCCCCCGATTGTCTCCCTACAGGTGTGAGCTGCATGGCTGTCAGTGTGTGACCTGTGCAGATTGTGAAGTGTGTTGTGTGGGACGTGGTTAGTAGTTTAACTAGTGTTAGTTCATATTTTGTTACATCCCTTTTGCCCTAGACAACAAGGGAACGTAATATCTTGCATAAATCCATGATTACGACAGCAATTATTTCCAAGGTCAAAGTGAAATACTTCTTGGTAGTTTGGTTTGGACTAATGTGTCTCCCCTTGGTTTTGTGTTAGCAGCATTTCATTAACAGTTAGGATGAACTCTGGGCTTTGGGCAGAAGAAATCTGTGAAATAAGACACCGGACAAAACTAACTTTTACTCACAAATTCAATTTATTGAAACGTAGAAAAGTTAATTGCCTTGATCGAAACCATCATTTCAAGGCGTGGACAATATGAAAAAAAAAGAGAAGCAAATTAATGCGTTCACAGACTGATCCATGTAATCATAAAAAGAAAATAAGGAATAAAAAAAAATAAAGAAATCACTGTTACATTTGAGAAGCTACAAACATAACAGAAAGTTGAAAAACGTGTGAAAAATAAAATTGTTAATTAAAGATACAGATGGATGAGTAGAAGTCAACCTTGGTTACCATTACTGCATGAGGTACAGAAAGGAATGGAACTTACATCACACATTCATAATAAACGTCAATATGTAGTGTAACAGTTCAAATAAGAGAACTGAAAATCAAAACCAGCTGTATAATTCACTCACAGACACACTTCAAAATATTCAAATTATTTCAGATTTGGGCCTCATGCCTGAATCCAACTCAATGAACCTGTGTTTCCTTGTTTAGCACATTTTCTGTGTCACTTTAAGCATGGGTTTTCCCTGCTGTACATGACATACACTAGGAACTCATTTCAAAATGTGAAAGTGTATTTGGCCTAAAAAGCTCAGAAACAGCCCCCCCCAGCAGGTTAAATGGCCCAGTTTTGCTAAATTTCTGTATACCTCTCGGATAATAATTCTATTATGTGATCCTCTGAACACTTTATAGAGTGCAATACTGCAATCTGACACCACTTCACATCAAATGTATTTAGACTCCTGGAAAGTGGGAAAGCACCTCCGAACTTTATATTGTTTCTCGGGAATTTTTTTGGATGGTTAATGATACATTTTTGCAAATTTCATTCATTGAGCCCCCCCAAGGAAATCTTGCCTCCCACTTAAAAACATCCAATCTTAATTCTTTACAGTGACCAATTTGTTTAGCATCTGGGCAAAAGTGATCTTAATAAATGTAAGGATCAGATGGCATGATGCATCTCTGCTGCTTTACTGAGACAGTGAAAGACTAATGTCAAGTGGGGTGTGAAAACACATCAGGGGGCAATGGTTGTTGTAAAAACATACTTGTTTGTGTTTTTGTGGAAATAAAGTGGAAATACTGTCCATTAACAAACCATACACAACTCACTTAATAAAGAAATGACAGGTTTTAAGACACTTGACACATGTTCTAAGATCAGCTTTAATAACAGGGTCAAGTATTGTGGCAGATTGAGGTAAAAATTTACTTTAATAAGAGAACATCTTGTAAGTCATTGAAGCACTTGAGGAACTTTTATCATCCATAGTGTTAGAATAAAAACACAGAATAAATACCCTTTATTGGAAGAGGAAACAGAAAGCCAAGATGATCTGTACTTCATAAATAATGCAATCTCCATCTTAAAAAGGTTGCCAAATTCATGTGAATGCTAGAAAACATGGATTTCTGTCTTTGCAGGGGTGGATTTAGACAGGCACAAAAATGGGTGTAGAGGACAGCAAAGGAGTGAAGGTGTGAACCCGTTAATCCTGGAGAGGTTTATTCTTTGTCGAGGGGCTCGGGGTGGGGTGGGGGGCGACGACTTCTCCTGCAGCAGGTCAGGAGGCTGTGGAGAGAAAGACCCGGGTGATGCACTCGACCCTCTTAGGAAGTCAGTTCAATTGACTTGGAAAGAAGACACAGAGATGTCAACAGATTGTGTCAGAGCATTGTTGCTTCTAGGATTGACATTGCATTGAAAGGGACAGTTCACGGCAAAAATCTAAATTCACATTTTTCCCCTTAACTGTAGTGCTATTTCTTTTAAATTAAGATTACGATTTTTCGATATAATGGAGCTTCAGAAATGTTATATTATACATGAATCAATAACTAATTTGAACAGGTCTAATTTATTTATTTTGTATTTGTTTGTATATGTAAAATCTCAGAAAATATATGTTAAAACAAAAAATAAATAAATAATGTTTATTAAAATCATGTCTCAAAAAGACATGACACAATCAACACACTTTTTTCACAACAGTTTGATTAAGGAACTACCAATTAACCCCAGTCAATGGTATCGCCCCGCACCAGGAAGTGTGCATTTTCTCCGCTAGCTAACGTCATCGGTAATCAGAGAAGGACACCATTAATGTTTAATATCCAGCAGGTTAGGGTCTGGAAAAAGACGATTATGTTGAGTATGTCAAATGAAACATTTTTGGGCTTTGAGCGCCACAACCTGAGTGCAGTTTAGTTTCATTATATAGACATATCTATGGCTAATAGCTCTGACACTCAGAAACAATACAGATGAATAAATAGCTCTAGAGGTAAGAGGGAAAATATGTGAGTTGGATGTGAACTGTCCCTTGAAATTAGAATCCTTAAATCATATACAGCTGTCCAAATGATAACTTAAAAAGGAAACTATTTCATGGCGTTCTCATGAGAAAGTATTCATGCGGTGTGGGACTCAGAAGGCTCACCTTGTGCTTCCAGTCCAGGAGCCGTTTTGTAGATCAGTCTGGTGTGGTAGAGTTCAAAACAGGGGACAGGACAGAGGCTGGGCTCCCCTGAACACGTCTTACAGAAATACCACGTCTTCCTCCTCAAAGTCCCGTCCTCCTGCTCACAAAGCTTCACCTCTGAGTGTTCCTGCTCTTTGTTCTCCCCGTTGTTCTCATCCTTTACTCCCTCATCCGGTTCTATTTCTGTTTTCCTCTCCGTCCCCTCATCCTCCTCCATCTTCTGCTTCTTCTCCTCCTGCTGCTGCTGCTGCTCTTCTTCTTCCTCCACCCTCTTCCTCTTGTGTTGGGAGCAGACCTTGCAGTCAGAGTCCGTCTCCCTTCTGCCCAGGAAATGGCGTCCGGTTAGTCGTGCAGGCACGGCGTCGCTCGGCTGAGTATCTTCCTGAGGTTTGGGTGATGGAGATGGAGATGTGGAAGCTTCCGCAGATGTCTGGTCGGGTTGAGAGGAGCTATCTAGCAGAGCTGCTGCAACTATCGAAACAGCTAGTTGTGAACATCGAACGATTGATAGCACCAAAAGAATGAATGAAACTGAATTAGATGGTGGGTAGGGTTGTGACAAACACCCAACAAAAAGGCACACCAGCCATGGCCCAGAGGAAAGGCTCTACCTCTATGAGTGCTATCATAACAATTATTCATGAATAGCATTTTAAACAAATAGTATATAAGAATTTGGATACTACTGATAAGCTCAGGTGATGACTAAATGTATCTGTGGAGTAAGTATTTTAAATCATGGTGTATGGAGAGAATAACCATTGCAAAGTCAGAGAGTAATTCCTTCCGTCTTTTTCCCCCGTTTTTTATAAATCAATGTAGCCGGCCCCCTGAGAAAGCTATTTTTTAACGGCCAGCTACATAGATCTTTTACAAAATAGAGGTAAAACAGACAAAAGGCATTTCTGTCCGTTCTAACCTGTTAGCGTGCGTTTGTCAGTAAAAATCGTTCACAAATACTCCAGAGGAAGCAGATTTTACACATTAAGTGTACATTTACCCATTGGGGTTATTATATTAAGTTACTGTTGTGAAAGAGGATAGTACAAGCAGAAAAGGAATACGTTTTGTTTCTGAATAAAAACCCGTTTTGTCTTTTCATCTGATAATAATTAATCAACCAAAGTAATAATCAGCAGATTATTGGATTTTTGAAATAGTTGTTAGTTCTGTATCCTGTGTGAGTGAGGTGGGACAGGGCTACCCAAACGTGTGTGTGTGTTCTGTAGTTACCTGCTGACTCAGCAGAGGGGGAGAGCAGCTGGCACATGCTCTCCTGGTCCATAGTGAAGGGCCGACACAGAACTGACTTGTTCTTCATTTGACGGCGACGGGACGAAGGGCCTTGCATGGCGTCAGTCTGAGTGCTGGCCTGGAAATTACAAATTGAAAAATGGCTAAATTAAGATATGATCTAGTTCTTAATAAGTCACATGTTGCAGGGGACAATAGTTTTATTTCTGACCAGATCAAACATTTTCAGAAAAAGAAATGTGGGCACTGACTTTGGTTCTAATATTATTATCAATAGTGTAACATTTTTTAGCCATGACACGCACACCCAGGGTACCTACGTGGTCTAGATTCTTGCCGTCAATGTTGGTGGTTGGAAGTGTTCCTACAAAAGAGAAAATACAAATAAATCAGCACTGCATCAAACCCCACTGTGACATATGCATATTACAAAAAGTGTTGTGGCTTTACATAAAGCTGTACCAAATGCTTTAAAATGTTAACATTGTTATATACCCTAATTTTCAGACTATAAGGCGCACCTGAATATAAGCCGCAGCAGCTAAATTGAATGATGTGTACATATATAAGCCGCACTGGACTATAAACCGCAGGTGTTTTAATGTTTAATTACCATAAGGGTTCGTGCACAGAGGGGATTGTCGGGAAAGAGATGGCTGTTTGAGGAAGCTCCCATTTATTAACATTTCAACAAACAAGTTGCATATTTGCATAACGTATTCAAGTGTTACCATTTAGTGCAATAGTAGCTACAGAACATGTACTGTGCTGTGTAAACTGTACTGTATCACATAGCGTTTCAGACACACAAACTTTTCAACTTTCAAACTTAAACGGTGCGCTCCCAGCGCACGTACCGGCAGTGATCTACAGCAGCGGTTTTCAACCAGTGGTACGGGGACAAACTGTCTCGCTCTCGTAATGTCTGTCTGTCTTGCTCTCGTTCTGTCTCTCGTACCACTCTCGGTTCCACTTTTACTTTTGCGCGCTACCTGTCTCACTCTTTTCCGGCCTCCAGCTTTTCCTGCTGGAGCCCGCCGCTTAAAGGTGGGGGGCGCGGACCGGCCATAGAGCCCATAGAGTTAAAGGTGGTGGACTGTAACCTGTAAAATCCATAGATTTAGGAGGTTCCCTAGTGGCCGTTAGCTGTAAAAATCCATAGATTAGCCGCACCGTTATATAAGCCGCAGGGTCGAAAAATGGGGGAAAAGGCGCGGCTTATAGTCCGAAAATTACGGTATTTAAAAAAAAAAAGGGATGTTTTGGATAAAATAATTTTTTTTAAATCAACTTTGAATGCTTATAAACTTGCTCCCTACATTTGTAATGAAAGTGAAGATGTCTTAACTTAGCATTAAGTGCCAGGCAAATGGAGGTTAATAACGTCATCATTTAAGTACTTTGCTAAAAAAAGTGTGGATCTTTGGAAATTATTTGATATTTTTTCAATGAATTATCACTTTTGGACTTAAAAACGCTCTGAACGTTATTGGAAATGTTTGGATCAGTCAGAACCAATCATACGCAGCCACTTCAATGTAATCCTACAAATAAAATAAGACTAATAATAATAATAATAATATTGTCTAATGTGAATCTGTGCAGAAATAGTGACTTTAATCATAATGGATAGACAGCATTCAAATGTTGATGTCAACGCTATAAATAAAGCTTTAAACTGTTCTATACGGCACTAACTAATGTAAGTGAAACAACTGACCAGTTAGAGCAGTGTCTGCTGACACACTGGGCTGAGTGGCAGAGCCGTTGGCCAGAGAAACCACATCCGCAATGACAGGATTCATCTTTGAGGAATGGTGGGGCTGTTTTGGAGCTGGAAGGAGAGAGGAACATTCCAAAGTAATTAACTTTTGAGTTAACAGCTTTTCTTTTCATCTTCTATTCTATCATCCCTGTATGCACTCCAAAACATGATGGAAACGGTGCGGATTGAGCGTAGTGGTTTTCACTTCATTTGAAGAGTATGTTGATGTTCTCTAACCACGGTTGTTGCTTAGCTAAACCAGGCACCTACAGAACAATCTCTCATACATCCCATGGTAAACTAGCTTTATCTGCTCCTTTTTGAGCTGAATCTTGTGAAAAATACTGTTTTAGGTTTGTTGGATTTCAGACTGCTGCTCTACATCTTAATGTTTCACACTGATTTTACCATATGGAGTTTGTGGGGCAGTTCCTGTTCCGTTGCTGCTGCTGTGGATGGTCTCAAAGTGCAGCTGGCAGTACTGCAGCAGGCAGGGCAGGTTGCAGAAGTTACGGACTGAACCCAAACATTGCAGCTTCTCCGTCATGGAGCCCTGTTTCCTGCAACTGTCACAGCGACCCATCTGGAGAGCAGAAGGGGAGAAAAGAAAGGGGAAAGAAGATTTAAAAAAAAATAACCAGTGGATTAACAGACAGGCACACCGTGTAAAGTTGAAGGACAGCTTACCCCATAGTAGAGCACAGTGTACTGGGACATGCAGTGGGGTCTGCAGAACTCCTCCATCCGGCCTCCATAGTGGCTGTGCAGCATCTTGGTGCTGAAGCCGGAGCAGTAGCTGCAGGAATCCTTGCATAGAGCCATCCGCTCATGTTTGAACACGGATTTACAGTCTGGAACACAGAAAGGGCAACTATTATTAGTGTCATTAATACAATAATAGGGCGATTATGATTGACCAGGTTAATAATAATAACAATACATTTTTGGTACTCATGTACATGTCGAAATAGAAATAAAGAAAACACCACACTTAAAAGACAAAATAAAATCACAAAATGAAGGGGCCCTATAATGCTCTTTGGGGCTTTTCCCTCTCCTGTGGTGTGTTCTATAGGTTTTTGTATAATGTCAATGGTCTGCAAAGAGTAAACTCAATCAATCAATGTTTATTTATATAGCCCAATATCACAAATGTTACATTTGTCTCAGTGGACTTCACAGTTTGTACAGAATATCAGTATGACTATACGACACCCTCTGTCCTTAGACCCTCACATCGTACAAGGAAAAACTTCCAGAGAAAACCCACAGTTTAAAGGGAAAAATGGGAGAAACCTCAGGGAGAGCAACAGAGGAGGGATCCCTCTCCCAGGATGGACAGACGTGCAATAGATGCTGTGTGTAAATTGAAAAGATAATACATTTTACAGCGTAGGTAGGCCAAATGTTTGGAAAAGCATGTGTCTATAATAAGAAGATGAAGAGAGTACACAGGTACAGACAGACAGAAGGAAAAGTAAGGTGTCCCCCGACAGCCTAAGCCTATAGCAGCTAAACAAACGTGTCTACATACAATCACTCCCTTAGGATAAGTTGAGGGAAAAGGGTAGCAAGTAAGAAGTAAGGAACAGAGGTGGAGAGGCACAACGTGTCAAACTACATGCACTCCCTTAGGATAGGGTGAGGGAAAAGAGTAGGAATTAAGATGTATGCGCCACATCTATACCATGAGCGCATTGCTCCTAAG